GCCAGGAAATGTACAGCTTAATTCATCTTTATAACCCCATCCTGTGGCATAGTTCCTGGACTGTGGTTACCACGCAAAATAAATGTGCAAAGAATAAAAGGGTTTGTTTTGAGTGGTAGCAACCAAAGAAAATATTTTGCATGAAGTGACCAGTTAACATCTGTGTAAACAGAATTTACTATGTCTGATCTGGGTTTTTCCTTGAGGACTTGGCTGTCCAACACAACACAAAACAAGAAGTTAAAACTGTCCACATTGGAAATCTCTACACTGTCAGGTAGGTGGCAGGGCGGGGGGCAGCATTGGAGGCGGGTTTGCTGTGGATCACTGGAGTTCTCATAAGGGAGGTGTGAATTCAGGCTGGAACCTTTGTTCTCCTCCATCTCCTGCCCTACTGTGCCATGCCCCTTGGTGTTGGAGCTGACTTTATTTCAATGTTCTTTTTCAAATTTATCTTGCCTGGTGGTTGGCACTACATCAACAGGCAAGTCACATCTGTTATTTCAGAGCAACACTGGGACTCTGCAGGTCACCTTGCATTATTATTAATTGCCATGTCCAGTTTCACAGAGCTGTTGTCAAAGGAGGATACATGTTGGCTTCACAGCCAGTTTTCTCTAATGTATGGCTGTGTTTAAAGACATGTAGAGTCGAATGGGTTGTCTTAGGGTCTTCGGTTTGGGAGTTTGGGGTTCCCTTTTATGGTCTCTCACAGTAGCCACTCAGGATTCCTCCTATTGGGTAACCCTCCTGCTCATCTGAACTCCTCCTCTCCTTCACTTTGGACTTTGTAGAATCAGTGGAAACAGACCAACTCTGAAGCAGCCTCTGAGAATAGGGCTCAATCCTGGTGGATAAAGCCTGCAAAAGCTGAGTTTGTTCCAACTGAAAGAAACATAGCACCAGGAAAACAGCCTAAGCACAAAGCAACCAACACTCATTTGGGCCCCCCGAGGTCCCATGGGAGACATACGGAAGTGGGTGGGCAGCATCTGAATCTGTCAGTTTGTTGGGGTGGCTCTGAAAAGACATTTGGGATACTTTCCATGCCTCATAAAACACAAGGCTTCATAGGCAGGAAACTACTAAGAGGTCTGCTTGATCCTCTTTCCTAATTACAGACTAGAAGGGAGCTTTTCAACATCACAAAATTCCCCAAGTGAAGGAGTAGAAGCCATTGTACGTCTTTCAAACAGAGCAAGAGAACAATGGCTAACACTGATTGGGCACCTGCACGTGCATAGAAGTCTCACAGCTGTTCTCCACCAAAAATTGCTATCACCATCCTGGCTTTACCGACAAGGAAACTAAGGTACAGAAAGGAAATAAGCCTAGGGAACCTGTCTTCCAATTTGAGGTAAACACATTTGACACTGAAACACTGATTTCATTGAGTCATTCCCTAGAGATGTCCAAGGCCAGTCTTAGAGATACTATTACTTCGAAGTACTTTTTTTTATTCTTCAAGTATTTATTGAATACTATCTGCCAATCACTGGGCAAGGCTATACCAATATAATTACTTGTAACTAATTTTTATTGAGTTAAATTTTTTATGTGCTTAATCTCATTGTCATAATTCTGCTAGGTAGGTACTATTATGATCAGCTAAAGAATGAAGTTTTAAGGAGGCAAAGTATTTGTTAACTACTTATCGCTTCTCACACTGCCGTAATGGGGGAAGCCAAGATTTGAGCTCAGTTTGATCTGACCCTAAAACCAATGCATTAAAGACAAAGTAAAATTATGGAAATTGGAGGTGATCATTATGTACACAATTGATGTGGAAAAAGGAGCAGATATAAAGAAAAGTTGGAATTACATTATTTAAACATTTCCTTCAGAATGCCCTTAGAAACAGCCTAGCGAATATTCTTTTCAGTATCTTCACTCGCTATTTTTGTGTATCCTTAGAGGCCCATTGCTCTAGAGTGAGGTGTACAAATCAATCCTGGGGGGCCCAGGATTCCTTCCAGCTTGTGGTTCTCTCCTTTGCTGTCTTCCGGGACTAAAGTGAGGGCTTAAGCAGCTGACTTGAATGTGCTCGAATAGGCAGGTGACCCATGGCAGAGTCAATACACAGCCTGTGGGAATCCTGAGACCAGAGGACTGAGTTAAGGGATCTGTATGTTCTGATGAGATGGAGTTTATAGCAACAACAAGATGCCTGGCCCATGACAAACATTCCACAGAAGACATTTCCAAACAATCCGTATCAGGACCAGTTATTCTGAAGCAACTAAAGAAGGTTTTGCCATTTCGAGACAAAGCCACGGGGTGCACTTGAAGTCGACCTGCCACCTTGTGGAAACTGGAGGGAATAAAACCATGGCCCTTGAACAATACAATAGTAATAATGATATGGGCTAATACCTCCCTCTCTCTCAGTCTGAGACAGGGTCTCACTATGTAGCCCTGGGCTGGTCTCCAACTCCTAGGATCCAGTGATCTTCCTGCTTCCCATCTTGAGTAACAACAGCACCTATCTTATTAGGGCATTTTATAACTTAAACTAATATTTTATAATTAAAATTTCCTAATTGAAATCAAGTAGCTGGGACTACAGGCACTCTCCCCTGTGCCCAACTTAGGCTAACATATTAACATAGTATGTGCTATGCACCCTGCAGAACACCTTCTAAATGTTTTCTCGTTTGGTTATAAAATCACCTTACGAAGATGCTATTATTGTCCTCCTTTTAAAGCTGAGGAATGTGCGTCCCTGAAAGGCAACTTTCCTGAAGCCACAGATGTGAGAACCCCTGCAGTGCTACCCCTTTACTGTGTACTACCCTCTCAGGCATTTAAATCCTGAAACAAGTACTGCAGTTCTTTGGGAGGATCATTAGCAACAGCCAATGAAGATAGCCCGGTCCCATCAGAACAATGAGAAACACTTTCAGTGCCTCCAGCTGGTCCTGAGTGTCTGAGGGAAGACTATGAGGGTGCTGGATGGAGCGCTCTCCCTGGCTTTCATTACCTCTGTTGCCTTTCTTTTTGCAGCTCTCTCTTGGGATGGATCACAGCTCCCTTCACCTTCATCACACTCAGGCTCAGCCAAGTGTAAAGTCCAACAAACGTGCATCCTAGGCCTCGGGCTCCCTGCTGCAGCCCTCCCATGGGCTGTGTCTAACCATCTGGAGCCTCGTTTCTTCATCTGTAAAACGGGGTGATATTGACAGGTATAACCAAGCTGTGCTTCAGAAAACAGTATTTAAGACAAATAAATGATACAATTCTGCGAATAAGATCTAAAATACTTAGCACCATATTCAGAACACAGTATGTGTTCAATGTTTCACATTTAAAACAAAAGTCGATTATTTTAGTTACTATATTTTAATTCTATGTCACATTTTAATAACATTTGATGCTTTTTGAGGTGGCTCCAATCATCATTTCCCGTGGTTTTCACAATAACCTGGCACAACTGGCAGGGAAGTTCTACTTCCTCATCTCACAAATCATTTCCATTAATATTTATTGTGTACCTACTATGCATAGGACCTGGGCTAGGAACTTGGAGACACAGCACATGCATGGACATTCAGAATGGCTGAGTGGCTGCCGCTTTCCACAACAATGTGACGAACATGTCTCTGGGAAAGTAGGAAAGTACACAGCCTCTTCTTAGTTTGTGGTTGTTTCCTTACTGACGGGAGATATAGGCTGCTCTTAGAGCTCTTTATTTAAGGGGGATCATAACCTGAGAGAAGCATAAGGGATTGGGAGCCAGAGGGAAGAGAGAAGGGAGACAAGAGAGAGGGAGAGAGGGAGAGAGGGAGAGAGGGAGGGGAGAAGGAACTCACAGCGATCCTCCTGCCTCAGTCTCCCAGGTGCTGGGATTAAGGCATGCATCATCATGCCTAGCTCATCTCTTTTCTTTATAAAACTTCCCATTTGGGGGTATTTTGTTATGGTAATGTAAAATGGGCCAGTATGTTCCCTCATCAATAGAAACTTCTGGATTGAAAGCCTCCTGGAATGTTCTTCCCACAACTCTCCCTCACTTGCAAATGATGCAGCAGTGCGGTGGACACCTGTGTTTGACCCTTCCTGTCACCACTCCCCTTCCCTGAGCTCCAACCCTGAAGCTTTTGGCGAAGCTGTGCCAGCACCGGGCAACTTCACAGCTGTGTGAGTTCACAGGTGCCTCCCTGGGTGTGGGTCCTTCCCCCTTCCTACTGGCCCAGTCTGTGGCCTTCAGAGGGCTGGGTTCCTGCCTCCTGTCCACAAGGTCACTTCTTGGACTGCATTCAATATACATATATTCTATTATCTATTCATATGTCTCTCTAAACAGATTTTAAGCTCCTTGGCAAAAGGAAATGAGTCTTAGTCCCCTCTGCTGTGGCAGCCTAACACTTACAAACCCTGGGCTTGGTATGTGGTAGGTGAGCTGACAACTGCTGACGGATTGTGATGCTGTCAGTGTCACTTTGATGTTGGTCACAACGACAGCTAACTGGACTTGAACTCTTACTACTTCTAAGCACTTCACAGGCATCATCTTAATTTTACAGAATCCTTTTTTTTTTGGTATCGGGGATCCAACTTGGGACCTTTCGTTTGCGAGGCACACGGCGGAACCACTGACCTAAATCCCTGACCCAATTTTACAGAATCCTGTGTCAAATCTGGGCACTATGCTGGTCACTGTTTTAGAGTGGGGAAAACTTGGGCTTCATTGGGCTTAGAGGTTGCAAAAGTCAAGAGTTAATCAGTGGTAAGGCAGGGAGTTAAAAGCAGGCTTGTTGGACTCAACCCTTGTGCTCTATTCCCTCATACACTTTGGAAATCCCAGAACAAGAAACAACTTCTTCATCCTTCTGAAAGATCTCAGAAAAGCCTCCCAGTAAACTGTATTGACTAAAAGCCCTAGACTTAGGTTATGGTTTAGATAAAGGTTCCCCCAAATTCTCATGTGTGCAGAACGTGCTTGGATCCTGGGGTGCCATACTCATCGGTGGATGCATCATTAATTAGTCCAGACTAAGTACTACAAGTGGAATTTTTTTTAATCTCATATATTTCAGGTCAGTCAAGGTACTTCTCATTAGGTCCCACTCAAAGATAACATGAGGGATTTTTTTTAGAGGCATAATTTTGCAGACTTAGGGGAAAAGAACACTTGATTTGTCCTAAATACCCATTTCTGAGAGAGACATATTTAGCATGAATCACCTGTTCAGACAGGAAATGGTTAGATTAATAGCAATGCCCCTCCTATAGTTTGATCACAAGTAGAAAAAGCAGGCCAGGGTCACGTACATTTGCATTTTAATTTTTTTTAAAGTGCGTGATTAATAAAGAAGTAGATAAAAATTTTTAAAAGCAGCAACAGTTTTTACAGCAAGTATGTGTGTTAAGATACTGTATCATTGGATCCACACAATTTTAGTAGACTCTAAAAACAAGTAGACAAATTATATGTAACAAGAGGAACATTTTTTTTTTTTTGGTGCTGTGGATCAAACTCAGGACCTTGTACTTGCGAGGCAGACGCGGTGCCACTGAGCTAAATCTCTGGCCCCAAAGTAACCATTTTTATTACCCTGCTTTATATTTCATGATTTAGAATTATACAAAGATTGTTACTTCTGAAGCAGAAATATTTGTAAATTCTTAATACCACTTAAAATTTCATTTATAATCTAGAACATTATGGATGAGTTGCTCTAAAGTAATTACTTTTGTTTTTGTTGTTGCTGTGGAACAAAGAAAATTACTGTGCGGCAAAGAAGTTGCTGTTTTACACCACTTGCTTGTACTTTAGATACTGTAAGAAAGAAGGAAGCAGAGCTGTTGGAGAAGTCCTTCGTGGGAGCAGGTGACGTGTGAGGATCATCTTGACTCAGTCTTCTCCTCCACAGATCTTTGAGAGTGCATGTTCATAGTCTCCAGAAGTATCTGACTGCAAAGAACAGGACCAACAGAGAAGAACAAAGGAGGCAGAAATAATGAGTGGCCATAAGTTCATCAAACCCCACAGCACTAGGGAATTCACTTGGGCTCAGCCCCCTAAAACTGTACCACTCAGCAAAATGCACCTGCATCTCTGCCAGGCACCCACACCTCAGGTAATCATGCTCTAGCCTAGCATCTTCCTTCCAACGTGTAAGGTTTAAATTCTCCCTCATGCACTGCAACTGAATTTCAATTTAGATTTCAAAACTTAGGTTGCAACAATTACATAATATTAGTTTCTAACAATTTTTAAAGAAAATTGTACTTTTAAAGATAGTATTTATTAAACACTTTTATTTGCTCAGCTAGAGGGTTATAGCTCAGGGCCAGAGAAGGTTCTTGGTATGTAGGAGGCCCTGGGTTGAATCTCCAGTACAAAAAAGAATAGAGATTACTGTGTATTAACTCCTTTAACCCTAATAAATGCACAATGCAATGGGACAGGAACAGTCAGTATCTCCATTTAACAGGTTAGTAAGCCCAGAGAGCCTGCCCCTTAACTCCAGGCTGTGAGGTGGCCACATCCTCACAGGCTGTGTCTATTGGTTCCTTTTTCCTGGGCCAGACAAAAAGAGGTCTTGGTTCAGAGAAGACATTGTGTGAGCTTAAGGATTAAGGGACAGAGATAGTGCATTTGCTATGCAAAACATTTCATCAGAGATAAAACATGGCTTTTAACCTGGATTACATAAAATTCTCACATCATATTTATTTTACTCAAGGAACACTTCCTATCCCTTAAGTTTTATTTTGGGGAAGCTGGTGCTGGGGTAAATGTTAGAGTAAGTAGCTCTGGTAAAGTAAGTAAAAAGGGTCATTTAGTGAAAAGATTAAGCATTGCTTTCATAGTAAAACACAACAGGCTTTAACAGATATGTTTCTATTATACATAGATTTTAGTGGTTCTTTTATTGATTTTCATGAGTCTTGTTCTGCCATATGTAACGTCCTTTCAAACTGCTGGCAGTCAACAATGCCCTTGCTTTGTATTTAAAAAAGCTCCCTCACTGGTGTTGTGGTGTACACCAGAAAATCCACAACCTAGAATCCTGGGTTTTATCCCTGACAGCTCTTCTTTGTTCCCCTCACCAGGATATCCCACCAAGTCCCTTCAGTTTTAACTCCTAAGTATCTCTTGAGCCCTTGACCTTCCTCTTTCTGCATGATCACCAACTCAGAGGATGCCACTGTGATGCCACAGCCTCCTGACTCATGACATCTCTTCTGGCTTATGTCCAATCCATTCTCCACAGTCATAGGGATTGTGTCAATGATCATGATACTGTATTGCTCAAACACTTCAGTGGCATCCTGGTGTGGTCATGCATACCGAGCATACCTATAACCCCAGCTACTCAGGAGGCCGAGGAAGGAGGACCTGGATTCAAGGCCAACCAGGGCAACTCAACAAGACTCTGCCTCAAAATAAAATTCAAAAAGGGTGGTGGATATAGCTCAGCACTGGAGCACTTGCTTAGCATGTGAGGCCCTGGATTCAAGCCCCAGCACTGCAAAAACAAACACACTCCACACACTCCCATAAAACAAAACCCACCTTATCTGCAGGTTTTCATACTTTAAAGCTAAAATCAAAAACCCTTAAACATTGCCAAAAAGTCCTGCATGGTCTGGTCCTTCCATCCTCACTTTCACTATGTTTCCTCTAACACCAGCTTTTTCCATTTTCAATTCCTTTTGATGGAATGTTCTACTGGTTCCCCACCTCCTGATCTGCAGCTTGTTAATATCTACTCATTTTCTAAGTCAGAATCATAATTTCCTCATAGATGCCTTTCCCATCTGACAAATTCTGTTCGATGCTCTTTTAGAACAAAGCTGTACTCTCAAAGCTCTTTTTAACTGAACTCAGCTTGTTACTAGGATTTTATTTCTCAGCATTCCCCCAAGCAGATCCTCTAATTAAGCAAGAGCAAGATTGCCTACTTTCCTCCTTCCTTTTGACAAATGTTTCCAGAGTGTGGATCTTTGACATCTCTGGGATCCTATTGACCAGCATAACACCTGGCCTGCACAAAGCATTCAATTCATGTTGCTGACCTGACTGGAAAGCTAGGCTAAAGACCCGCTGCTTTAAGAAATATTCCTTATCTCACCCCCAACTTCTTCTTAATTCTTATATTTCTGTCCTCTTTACCTCACAATGCAGTATTTAATTTTGTTGTTTCAATTATCATCTAATTTGTTTTGTTTTGTGGGAATCAAACTCAGGGCCTCATGCATGTTTGGCAAACATTGTTCCATTGAGCTCTGTCTCCAGCCCACAACTATGAATTTACTGCGGTAGCTATGACATCTTCTTTTAAAGAATCCTACTTACTAAATAGATACATAATTTACTGACAAAGGAAATTTTTCAAAATGTAACCTCATCTACATCTTTCATTAATATCTTATTAAGCAAAAAGAGACACACATTGTTTTTAACCTCTATTCTTCCTCTCCTTCCCTCTATCAATCATCATCTGAGACAGGTGTCACTAAGCAGAGAAATATCTAAACTGTAGGTGGAAGGGAAAGAATCAAGGTCCTGTTGTTGATCGTCTGAATTTCAGAAACTTGGCCATCTGAAAATATCCTGCTCATCAGTAGGGAAAATATAATATTACCTAATAATGTACATTAGGTGGTAAAAACAAAGGAATTTATGTTATTTCACATCACAATCTGACCACTTCAGTGATGAATTTTTCTTGTTATCTAACTACAAACAGATTAAATGTTTTCTTTTTTTTTTTTTTTTTGGTACTGGGGATCGAACTCGGGTCCTTGCGCTTGAGCAGCAGGTGGCGAAACCACTGAGCTAAATCCCCGGCCCTGATTAAATGTTTTCTAGTACAATAAGTCTCAATTACCCGGGCCATGGGGAAGAGAGCCACCATTAATTTAATTTTCTGCCTTGCTGAAGGTGAACTCAAAGTCCTCCTTGTATATCAACCTAGTTATTGACAATTGTTATAAAATGTATGAGTCTACGTTTCTGCCTTAGTAAGTACAATTTGGTTAACATTATTGAATCTTCCCCGATGACTGAAATAATTGTAATGTGCCAGGATCAATTCAAATAGAATTGAGCATGAATAGTTGACAAAATCTGTGCTAAGCCCCAGGTAGAGTCAGTTGCTTTTTTGAACATGTTCCTGACTTCAAGTTACTCGTTCATCTTTTTTTTGCAAATGTTTAGTGCAAAAACAAAGAGTTTAGTTTAAAAACAAAGAGGATTTTAGTGAATAAATCTAGTCGACTGATTAATGTTAATTCTTTCTTGCATTCATTCATAAGCCATCTGTCAAGTCTAAGACAGAAGTGTTTCCAAGATGGCAGCCATAAGCCCCGGCCAATATTTGTGCCTGGTACAGGATGGCCATCATAAGGAAGCCCACAGAGTGGGTAGGACTGAAGATTTCAGCTGCTGCAAGTGACACAGGAACGTGGTTAAAGCCAGGCTGGTGGCCAGGCTGGGCATTTTTGCCTACAGGAAGCTCAGCTTCATTTGTGGTTGAGGGAGGCTGGCTGGGAAGCCACCCAGAGACCAGATGTGCATGTACACAAACAGGCTCAGCTGGGCCCACGGTGTCAGGACACCGAGACTCTACTCCCACCTTTGGGCCCTCAACACTCCAGAGTGAAATCTCCCTGCTGAACTCCTGGCCACTGCACCCTTCTTGTCCCGGCTCCTCCTCCAACTCCCAGCATGGACCTGAGGAATCTTCAGTTTCCAATGCTCATTTTCTCAAAGCACTCCATAGGATGGAAGGGAAGCAGAGGTAAGGAAGCTTTGCTGTCTCAGGACCTCTGCAAAGCCTCACTAGACCCATCTTTCCACTTAGTGCTCCCATTTGTTTCAAGGACCCATCTTGACTACCACTCTCTGGATACTTTCATATGCCATCTGGGGGTTGAGGCAGCAAAAGCAATCAAGGGAAGGCTGTTAGGCAGGTCTGGGGCTTCCCCTGAACCCCCATTTATTTGCCAATTGCTATATTCCTCTCAGTATTATGACTTTTGAACCAAGAGCTTAAGGTGTGGAAGCCTCTTGTATAATTTTTGCCAGTTTTACTTCCTTATGAATTCTAATAATCTGTAACTTTTTTGGGCTTTCTGTTTATATAATTATATCAGCTGAGATCTGACAGCCACCGTTGGTTTCATTCTTTAGAACAGAATTGAAGGAGTACAACACATTTTAGGAAGATTTTCATTCAAAATGATAGAAACACAAGGCATCCATTTTTTAGAACCAAGAAACTATAAAACATTGATAGATTCAGTTGAATAAGCTTTAAAATTTCTGCCTGGGAGAAATAACCTCCAGCCAAGGCAGAGGAGAAATAACAAACTAGGAAAAATATTTACAATGAGACAACAGGCTTATCTACCTTATGTAACATGAGGTCTCAGACAAACACCCAAGAGAATAATACACAAAGAACACAGAGAATCACAGCAAAAGAAAGATGAGAAGCACTCGAAAAAGGAAAATCTCTTCAGTCTCATTCATACCAAAAAAATGTACACTAAAATTATCCTGAGATATACTTCCTTAACTGCCAGATTGTAAAAACACAAAAGGATTGTTTGTGGGCTGAAAAACAAAGCTCTGTTCCAAGGCTGTGGAGAAACAAGGACTCAGGCCTTCCTCATGCAAGTAGATAATTGGAAGTCAAATTATAATATTTAGCCAAATCAAAAATGTATCATAGGTGTCTCAGCAATCATGTAGCTGGGAATTTATCCCACAGACACACCTATGAAACTGTGTATCCACATGACAGCACTGTTTATGATAGCAAGAAACTGGAAATATCTATTGAGGTCTTTGATACAAATATACAAACAACACAATGATGGACAGCTGTTAAAAATGAGAGAGCTTCCTATACACTGAAAGGAACAGAACCAAAGCTGCAGAACTATGCTATCCTTTTATATAATGAAGAGGAAGTTTATTATTGATTTTATTATTATTATTATTTGCAGTGCTGGGGATCAAACCCAGTGCCTTTCCCATGCTAGCCAAGTGCTCTACCACTGAGCTGCATCCTCAGCCCACATAAAAGAAATTTAAAAATGTATTTTTATTTCCTTACATTGTCATAAAAATGGAAATAAATAAAACCGCTATATAAACAATATATGAAAAATAGACACATTGCTCATGCATTTCACAAAAGAAGAAAAATTCATTGCCAGTAAATCTAAAAAAAAAAGTTGAATATCTACAATATGCCTGGGATTTTAGAGCTGAAAAGATTCTACCTTTAAGGAACATTTTGCTGTAACTGTTTAAAACTCAGAAAACACACTGACAAGGAGAAAGAATTCTAAATTATATATCTATACATTTTAAGGAATATAAGGGAAAGATGGTGAATAAAGAAGGGTAAAATATATTTTGCTATCTTTAAAAGAGACTTACTTTAATGGCTGAATATAGGGAATAGCCATAGTGCTTCTTGAACTCATATCGAATGTCCAAAAGATCAATTTCTGATCTGGAAACCATTATTCGGTTTAGAGTAAACTCATCAGTTCCAGCACCCTGTTAGCAAATGCAGGTGTTCACAATGTAAATCTCATTGCTCACAAAATGACACAGGCATAGATCTAGATTTATAAGATATAAACAATGGTGCATAAAATATTCAACTGCAGTGATTCTTCATCTTTTTGCCCTCAAATATTATTACTCATTTATCATCTGAAATGAACAGACATTTCTCAGACAAAGAAGTAGAAACATCAAATAAACATACAAAAAAATGTTCAACATCACTGGGCATTCGAGAGATGCAGATGAAAACAATGCTGAGATTTGACCTTATTCCAGAAAGAATGGCTGCTATCAAGAAATCAACCAATAACAAATGCTGGTGGGGTTGTGGGGAAAAAGGAACCCTTCTCCACTGTTGGCTGACTGGTGCAACCACTGTGGAAATCAGTATGATACCTCAAAGAACCAGGATTAGAGGTCCCATTTGAGCCAGCTATTCCCCTTCTTGGTATCTTAACAAAAGAATTAAAAGAACCATACCACAGTGATATATGTGTACCCATGTTTATAGTGGCACAGTTTATAATAGCTAAAACTTGGAAACAGCCCCATTGCCCATCAACAGGAGACTGAATAAAGAAGATGTGGGTTTTTTAAAAAATAAAATGGAGTACTACTCAGGCACAAAGAATGAGAAACTAGAGACATTTATAACTAAATGGATGCACATTAAGGCCATACTCTCAAGTGAAATAAATAGGATACACATGTGTAAATACCAAATAGTTTCTCTAGTGTGAGAAACTGAAAGTATAAATAAGGATCAAAATGTATAATAGATAATGTGAAATAGGAAGAAAAGGTCCAATGGGAAGGGGAAGTGGGAGGCATAGGGGAAAAGAAAGAAGGGAAAGGAATAAAAATGAGAAAAAACAAGGAGTTTGTAAATAGGGAGGGGTGAAGGGGTTGGAGGGAGGGCAGGGGAATGGGGAAAAAAATAAGAACCAAGATACATCATGTAAAGGTACAAATTTCCAATGATGAATGTCATCATATGGTATTCCTAGAATGTACCAATAAACTTAATGAATAATAAAAGACACACTTGCTGAGCCCCTACTCTGTGCCAGCACCATGTTAAATGCTGAAGAATTGAGACATGATATCCCTGATAAACTTTCAATTCTGTAAGCAAGAATTCTGTAGGCAAGAAAACAAGCCATTGCAAAATACTGTAGTCTGACACACAAGAAATACTGGGTACCATGGAAGCATCTATTGGGGCCCAAGAAAGATTAAGGATTAGGAAAGCCATGTCCAAGAAAGACACATTTACACTGAAGGGAATCTTAGTGGTTCCTCTGCAAGTAAATAATAAACCTTAGGGGAAGGAAAGGGTTCACAGAAAGAAAAGAATGTTCCAATAGAGGATATTTGTGTGTGAAGGTTTTAGACATGAAAGAATGCTACATTCAAGGAAACATAAATGATGAGGGGGGATCACAAGAGACACATCTGAAGACTAGCCCTTTTTAACCATGAAATGAAATTCTAACTTTATCCCAGATGTGAAGAACTAAAGGAATATTTTAAACATGAGCATGTGGAGATAAGGTCATGTCTGTGGTTTCAGAGGATCACTGCGACTATGATACGAGGAGCAGATTACTGGGTAGGAGAATGAAGATAAGGGAATAGGACGAAAGTCTCTGGGATTCATCAAAAGTGACTAAAGTCCTAGAGGAAAGAGATGACGATGAGCTGAACTAGAACACTGGCAGTGAGAACGGGAAAAGGGGAAGATTTGAGAGATGCTTATACAGGTGGGCTGACAATGATGCATCATTGGAGGACGATGAAGAATGAGGACAGTGTACGATTTCTAGCTGAGTAGTAGGTGGATGCTGACTCTATGCATCCATCCAGCAATACTTGCTACTATATGCCTGATGTGAATGAACTATACAGAGTCTACTCTGTCCTCATGGAGCTTGTGTTCTATTAGATGGAGAAAGTGCGTAAATCAATGAATTATTTAAGTAAATTTTTTTTTTTGGTACTGGGGATCAAACTTGGGACCTTACGCTTGCCAGGCAGACAGCGGAACCACTGGGCTAAATCCCCGGCCTTAAGTAAATATTAACAAGAACTATGAAGAAAATAAAGCTGGTGAATGGAATGGAGAATGATGAAAGGGAGCCAAGTGACATGACATGGAACAAAATCGGGGAGACCCTTTCTGGAGGGAACCATTGAGTTGAGACCTGAACAAATGAGGCAGAGTCAGGCACAGACAGATCTGGAGGGGGAGGAACGGGACAACTCAGCAAGCTGGGCAAGGCGTTGCTACAGGGGCTGCCCATGAGATGACTGAACACAGGAGGGCAGGCTTGGCTATGGGCTGAGGGAGGGAAAGGGGTTGTTCACTTGGACACATGGAACCACAGGAAATGTCTAGTAAAGAAACGGAAATAAGCAACGCCTGTGCGCCAGGTCTTGACCTAGGGTGTGGCTCATGGAGCCCACCAGCTAGGAGTGAAGACAGGCAAGCAAGCACAGGGTACAAGAGCCTGTAAAGGCTGAGGACTCAGCACGGAGAGGCTGCCTAGGAGGCCACCAGCTCTCAAGGGCTAAGTCTGAGGTGTGGCATCCAACTGCCCATGCTTGCAGTGAAGTGAGGGAAATCAGTGCATATATCACTGTCGCCCTCTCTGGATTGACTGGAACACTTACCATCAATCTCTGAGATGAATGGGCAAGCTAGCTACAAAAGGGAACTCACCAAAGTGGAAAAGAAGGACGACATTCCATCAACATTAAGCAATATTTTTATATTCTCCCTGAGGGATGCTGAGAATGCATAAGAAATTTCCAGACCAACCTTCAAAGCGTGACGCAGTCTTCCAGCTAGAAAGGCAGGCGTGTTCCTCACACACTGAACTGTTACAAAAAGCATCATAATTAGCTTCATTTAGTAAAACTGAGTTAATCTATAGTAATTTTTAAAAAGACTCTGCGGATTGTTACTCTACTCTCCGCCCTCCCCATGACTGGCTTCCATTTAGAATGAAAGAAAGGCTGTTTAACCTGAATTTCAATGCCTTATGTCATATCTGCACAGAACTTCAGTGCAGTGATTATCTTTAGCCATGGGGAAAATAAAATTACCTGCCAGAGAAACCCCCACGGTGTGACTCATCCCTAAGTCCCAAACACACGAACACCTACACTTGAGCTGATGGTTCCCGAGGGTGCGCCATCCCCAGCGCTAACATCTTTGGCTGCTGATGAACAGCCTGGGCCTGAGGAAGGCAGTGATGTGGCTCTAAGTAACTCATTAGATAAGAAGAACTGCTGGTCCTCAACTGCAAACCAACTGTCCCCACGGAAGGATTTTTAAATGACTGGATTAGAATGTATAGCCTGCTTAATTACATTAAAACCAGTACCTGTAACTTAATTCAGTCATTTAGAAAATACCATAATCTTTCAAATTTTTATTGTGAAACAAGTGAAATAGAAATAAAACCAGAAGAAAGAAAATGGATAAAATATGGGTAAATAATTAGTTTTTAAAAATAGAGTAGTCCAAATAGAAAATCTATTGGGAAGAAACCTACTGACCACAGCACAATTACTTTCATAAACCTTAAATCTGATCTGCAAATAGGAATGTGTGAAAGGTAGTGCATTTTATAATGAATTTTGGAGCTCAGAAAAAGAGCAAGCCTTGGCTTGCTCACAGTGGCTTGGGGATTATGGGAAGCTAAAAGACTGGTTTGTGTAGGTGACTCAAGGAACCAGAACCATGAAAATGATCAGACGCAAACGTGTGACAGGAAACAGACCATTTGACTTGGTATTACCTAAAGTTTTTCGTGCTCATATTAAGTAAGCCTTAATAATTTGATCAGGAATCATTATGACCTCTTTCAGCCTATTAAGCTTTTCAATCTTCCTCTCTCAACTAGTTTGGTACAATCTTTTATTTTTATAATCCTTTCTCTCCCTTTAGCTTGCCCTCTGCCTTATGGTCTTAAGTACCAGGTTTATTCCTGTCTGAAATGTGGGGAAGTGGCAGGGCATGCTAGTGTAAGAAAATTTGTATTAGCACCCAACACCACAGGGAGAAGGTCATGGGGGTCCATCAGAGTTAATTACTGTGGCCTGGACTTTACAACAGCCCTTTCCTACCTTCCTCATTTTCCTGACCAAACTTCAGTCAAGCTTCTCTCTTTCAGTCTGCCCTCAAACTCAGGCTTGCTCCCAATTCAGAGCAAGCACTAAAGTGAAGATCCTGCCCCCTTATCAGCTTATCTCAAGAATTCAGCTGACCCATCAAGATAGTGTCCTTTCAACCCCCAGTGACTGTGCCCCTCTGCCTACTCAACTGTCCATTGAAAGTTTCTGCTGAGGTCTGCTTACCCCTTCCTACAAAAGTGAAGACTTTTCTGCTGGGTTTTTGAGACTCTCATACACTTCTGAGATCAAACTGCTCTCCCTCTTTTAACAGTTTTTTTGCATGAAGCTTCTCTTTAAATCTAGATTTGGCTTTACTTGAAAACTAGTAGATTCCTACTGTGGGATTCTAAGATGATACAGCTAAGACAGTTGTTCATGCAAAAAACAATGTGTTGACACATTGTATTAGATTGGTAGGTCTGGGAGGTGGGCAGGAATGGGAAGTGACTCCAATGGGTACAAGATTTCTTCTGGTGCTGATGAAAATGACCTAAACTCAGATTGCGGTGATAACTGCAAAGCTCCAAAATGTATTTAAAAAGTACTTAATTGTATAGTTTGAATGGGGTTTTTTTGTATATGAGTTTATTTCAATGAAGATTTCTTCATAAAATGGTTTTACTCCAATGGCAAATTGAAATAGAGAATCCAAGTGTGAAATATTTTCAATTTTAAATTAGTTGAATTATCATATGACTTTTTTTTTGTACTGGAGATCAAAATCAGGACCTTGTGCTTGTGAGGCAGGCAGTGGCACCACTGAGCTAAATCCCCAGCCCTATATGACGTTTTTACCTCCATAAAATAATGTACATCATAGCCTAGATTTAAACACAATTCAGTGTATAGTTCCAAGAATACGTCTTAGCTCAGGGGATCTGAAATGTTTCCTAAAGCCTCATGTGTTAAATGCTTAGTCCCAGGGCTGGGGATGCAGCTCAGTGGCACAGTGATTATCTAGCACACACCAGGTCCTGGGTTCAATCCCCAGTAAGGGAAAAAAAAGAAAAAGCTTAGTCCCCACCCCATGGTACTGTTGGGAGGTGGTGGAACCTTGAAGGGGTGGGGCCTAGTTGGAGAAAGTTAGGTCACCTGGGGCTTTGAAGGGGACATCAGGACACTGGCTCTTTGCTTCCCAGCAGCTATGGGAACAGGCCCCTCCATCATGAGCGTCTTCTGTGATCTATGAGCTGCCTCAAGCCCACAGAAACAGGGCCAAGAGACCATGGACTGAAACCTCTGAAACACTGAGTCAAACTACAAACCACTGCCTTTTCTGAGCTGATTACTCAGGTTATTTAGTCAAAGTGATAGACAGCTGACTAACACTCAGTGAATAAGAGTTTGTATATCAATAAGGTTTTTCAAATATTGCAGCTTAGCATGAACAGGCAGAGCAACAAAATTAAGGATTAAAAATAGGAACTGGGGGACACCCCCTACCCCGCTCCTCTGTACAGCCACCTGGTTCCACACTACAAAGATGCAGCGGACACCAGACCACCAGGCCATGGTACTGGGTCAAGCTGCTCCTGGCCCAGAGGTAGGGGCTTCTGAGCCACCATCTCACTGCTCCTGGTCTAGAGGAAGGGGCTTCCCGGCCACCATCCCTTCCGCTGCTCCCAGCCCAGAGGAAAGGGCTTTTGGGCCACCTTCTGTCCCACTGCTCCCGGCCCCTGTCCCACCTCTCCCAGCTCAGAGGAGGTGATTCTCACGGGCGCCAAAAGCATCCCCCCGTCCCCCCAATCGAAATGAGAAAACACATAAATAAGTCTCAAAACCAGACTTCCAGATCACCTACAACAACCCCAAAGGGAAATGAGATGGGAACACTCTGATACTCAACCACCCGGACCCACTGAACTGGCAACAAAAGGGGATCTGGAAAAAATGAAATCAGAAATAATTTCTCAGATAACAGGAGAGATTGTGCTCCTAGTGCAAGACATGATTAATAAAAAATAGGAAATGGGAAAAAATAATAACTGGCACATCATCACCACTGGAACATTCTCAGAACTCATACTGAGAAACTGACTTCAGTTCCATTTGTTTTAAATTGAAAAAGACTTTTCTTTCTTGGCCTGTCTTTTAGTAATTTTATCAGAGTCAAGAAGTTTTTTGTTTGTTTTCTTTTGTTTGTCTGAGCCTGCATTTGGATAAAGAGCCCTGGTCTTGGCACTCGAGAGAGGATCAGAAGTGAAATAATGTATGTGGAGGAAGCTTAAATGAGCTGATACCTGTAAAGTAGTAAGCAAAGCAACTGGCACATGGTGAGTTATTTAAAAATAAAATGACACACCCTAAAAGGGAGCTCAGCCTTCAGAGGTGGGATGAATCCCAGGCCCAAGCCCTAGGCAGTTACCCTAAGACACCGGCTATCTTCATCTTACCAGAGGTGCAATGAGTCACAATAATGGATATCAGAAGGGACCTCTCCTTGGGGAAATGACAAGTGTGTGCAGTCCAAGCAATCTACCCTGGCACCACTGGAGAAGAAGCCTGTAGTGAGCCCAAGGGCCTCCCTAACTAGCCATGGCTAAAGGTTCTGGACAAGTCTGGGTGTGCACCAGGACTAACAGATTTTATTGCCTGACACTTGACTAGAGGAGTCAAGAATCCAGTCCTTTAATAGGGTCTCATCCCTTCGAATGGACCTTGCTTACTAGGTGTTCTCCTGATGCCTAAAAGACCCCACTGCGTGTCTAACTTGTCAATGCAGGAGTCTACAGGAAAAGATTCAGCCTGAAACATTTTCTGTTTGGCACACCCCTGCTCACTTGGACAAGGAGGAGACACTTCACTCTGACCTTGGCTCCACTTTGGGAGGCCAATGACATCTTCCAGAAATAACCAAATATAGTGAAATAGCAAACTGGCTTAGGTCTCAGTTTTCAACAAGCCTCAATAAAAATGTCAGTGGAAATGCAATATTTCAGCTCTCAAGGAGTCTACAATCTAAACATGGTGACAAGCTGAATACAAATTTAAAAGGCAAAGTAGGAGGTAAATAGATAACTCCTTCATGCATCCCTGAACAATATTTGTGCAGCCCACTGTCTGTACCCTGGACTGTGCTAAGGGCTGTCAGGAGTATACAGATGGACCAGTCAGGATTTTTACATGAAAGGAACTCACTTTGACACTGAGTTAAAGGAAGTGCAAAGTAACGCCGTTAACCAGCACTCAAGAGCTTACCTATGGCCAGCAGTAAGTCTTCAAAATGCCCAGATAATTCTCCTTTAATGCTCTCCTCAATGTCCTTCTGGCTAATATTTCCGTATTCATCAAATGCTAAAAAGTATCAGCACAAAAACATTTAAAGCATCCCATGCTTGAATATATTTCAGGGTTTTGTATTTGATGTGCAGCAGATCAAGTCACAAGCTTAAAAACTCCCCTTTTAAATCATCAAAATTTGAGCACAATAAAATCTAGCTTCCTAGCCCATTTTCTTCAATGACCTCCCTCTGCTTTTTCTAGGCTGCAGCTTTAAAAACAGCCTGAAAGGTTATATGATAAATAACTTATCTAGTAAGGTAGACTACTTTAAGAATGAGAGCAGCCCCTGGGAAATAATACTGTGGTCATTAGTCAAGTATGTTTTATTTGCCAAAGGAATCTTAATGATGAAGTTTTCCTTGTGCTGAGTAAATCATTCCCTTAGGCAGGATGGCCCACTTCACACGTACCAGAAGGGATTTGAATTTCTTGATCAGTATTTGCCCCAAGCAAAACCTGTACATATGTTACCAAGTACATAGGCATATTTTGTAAGCCAAGTACAGTTTTTTCAAGTAAATTCTGAAGAAAGAAATTTTGGGGAGGAATCTGTGGTGAGATGATTTTTATTTTTCAAACAAAGGTACTAAAAAGAAACTATATTCCTACTATTTTATTAAATCAATTAAGGCCAAAGTTAAGGAAGGACATTTCAGAATTAATCACAGTGATATTAATAAAGTGATATCCTTATGTTTCCTCTCTTTTTCACAGCTTAGCATAAGGCCAGGCATGCACAGTGGTTGTTGTCTAAAGTGGCACCTAGGAGCCACAGTCAGATGGTGGCTACAGCAAAGGGAGTTAGGAAGACCCCTGAGGGAATGGGTGGGTGCCCAGCAGTCCCACATACATATAGTCTGATCAAAAGAACTGGTCTTCCCCATTACCTCATTTGGCTTTGTATCAGAAAGAGCTGAACCCTGGTCAGCATTAATACATCAATAAAAAGTTACACGCAAAGCCTGGCTTTTCTGGAAAGTGGTTCATGTGAGACAGTGGGGTGGAAGCAGAACAGCCAGGCTCCTCCAGCCCAGAACAGGCCTGCCTGCTCTCTCCCTCCAGGGGTGCCTCTTCTCTTCTCCTTGCCCCCAGCCTACTACCTGTTACTAGGGGAACTACTCAGTCTTTATGGGAGAGCTAAACAGGGCTGGAACTGCCAGGAGTTACAACATGGCTTCCTCATTTTGTTTTATCAAATGTTTATTTTAAAAAAGATGAAACAGACATCATTTTAACCTTATTTCTGTATATCAGACCCACTCAAATCTGCAAAAACAAACCAAAAAGGACTGAGTATGAGTCCATACTTAGTTTCAGTTGAGGAAAGCTCCGTAAGCACAGGATCTCAGTGAATTTATCTTCATCCGTGCCCCATTTGTTCTCGCCAGCATTATAGAGAATCTACCGACAAAGGAGGGAAACTTATGTGTTATTATAGACACAATTCTTTCTTTCTCTTATTTGAGGGAGTGGAATGAGAAGAGTGGGAAGCTTTAGTTTATTTTCAAGGTCAGTGAGATCCTCTATTATCTAGGCCTCTCAGTTGTAGCAGACAAGAAATCCGGAGGCTGGAAAAGCAGGAGCCTGGGAATGATTGCCATTGCTAAGGAAGGCAGAGGCTGGGTGGGGCTGACCCGGTCTCCAGGCTTCTGCTTTCAACAGGAGAGAAAACAGCCTTGGGTCCTACCATCTTGCTCCCTTATGACAGAAATGCAAAGGCTGTCAAGAGGAAGAATAGTTAAAGGAGACCTCTAACTTGCTCTGTTACTGACCTGAGCATCTTTTTTGGCCAGATGTTCATCCACTTTCAGACTTTCATCTCTTCTACCCTACATTGGGATGACAAACACAAGGTCAGTCCTTCAAGGGCAGAAGAGTCTAATGCTGAGTATCTTAACTAGCAAGACATCTCCGTGGTTTTTCTGCAGTGGAAGCCATGAAGCAGAGGGGAGTCAGGCACTCTTGCTTCTAACCCTAGCTCCACCACTGGCTAGTCATGAAGTTGGTAGCACATCACACAATATTTGAGTCCTCCATCTTCTCTGAAAACTCAAAGGTGTTAAGAAGATGAAAAATGAAGCCATAAACTAATAAAATACTTATCAAACATATCTGATAAAGGATTTATAACCAAAATACATGAAGAATTCTTACAGTTCAATAAGAGGATAACAATTCAATTTTAAAAATGAGCAAAAGTTCTGCTGAGACCTCACCAGAGAAGATGTACAGATGGCAAGAAAGTATATGAAAAGATGCTTCATATCATATGTCATATGGGAATTGCAAATTAAAGCAATAAGATAACAACATGCATCTACTGTATTAGAATGCCTAAAATCCAAAATACTGGCAACCTCAAGTAATGGTGAGGATATGGACAACGGAAGTTCCGCTGCTCACTGCTCATGAAAATGTAAAATGGAACAGCCACTCTGGAAGACAGTTTGACAGTTTCTTATACTACTAAGTATCTTACCAATATGATCCTGCAGTGGCACCCCTTAATGTTTACCTGAGTTAGAAACATGTCCACACAAAACCTTGCACATGAACGTTTAATAGAAATTTTATTCACAATTTCTCCAATTTAGTAGCAACCAGGATGACCTTCAACTGATGAAACAAATATTCCATACAATAGGATATTGTTCAGTCCTAACAAGATATGATTGGCAGAGCAATGAAGATGTAGAGGAAAGTTAAAAGGAAAATAATGAAGTGAAGGAATGAATGAAAAAGGTACATAGTATAGGATTCCAAATACAGGATATTTTAGAAGAGGTCAAATTCTGGAGATAATAAAAAGATCAGAGGTGGGCAGGGGTTAGGGGAAGGCATGTATAAATTGGCAGAGCACAGAGGATTTTTAAAGCAAAAATTATTCTTTCCCATACTGTGATGGTAGATATACAACATCATACATTTTTCAAAGTCCACAGAACTAATCAACAGAGTGAACTATTATGCCAACTACAGACTTTAGTTAATAACAGTGTATCACTAGTCACTCAGCAACTGTAACAAATATGCCACATAATGCAGGTTATTAATACAGAAGTCCCCAACTCAGGAGCAGTCATGTTCCAAACTTTCACAGGTGTACATTATAAGATTCACAGGTGTACTGTGTAAGACTCACTTTGTAGGATTACAAACGAATCCAACTCTCTAGAATATTCTCCCAGGATAAAACTCATTTATAAGTCGAGGACTAACTGTAATAGGAGAAACATGGAAGGAGAGGCAAAGGAGAGCTATCTAAGAGTGGTACCTTGGTTCACCAAGACTTTTGTTTGCAAACAATTTGGGTTCACAAAAACATTTGGCATAATTTTGTTTTTGTTTGCAAATTCCTCATCAGGTGACAAACATGACCATGGCCGTCTTTCCCACACAAACACAAATGTGGCCATCTTTTCTGAAATTGTAAAACAAATTAAGTTTGTGAACTGAAGTGCCACTGTATTTTCTGTTCAACTTCTCTGTAAATCTAAAACTGCTCTAAAAATAAGTCCACTTTATAAAAACCCTCAGAAGTCCCCACCAACCCCAGTCTCGAATGCTCCGCAGTTAATGTGTACATATGTGGTTGTGAACAAATACTTGAGCACATTTTAGAAAGATGGAAGATAGAAAAGTAAAAAAGGACTGCTTGATTTATGCTTTTTTTTTTGGTACTGGGGATTGAACTTGGGTCCTTGTGCTTGCGAGGCAGGTGGCAGAACCACTGAGCTAAATCCCGGGCCCCGGGTTGATTTATGCTTAAAATTATAGGTGAACAAAATATTCAGTTATAATATTTAAAAATAAATTTGCTCCTATTTTCAAATATTAGTTCCTTGTATGCCTGTCTGACTTGTGCCTGGTTTCTTTCTGGTATTAGTACTGTCTTCTCATTCTTTCATTTGTGCACTGTGCTCCATAAATAAAGGCGCTGATTATCATTAGCCTTAAGAATAATAAACCACCACTACCATGCATTGTTCACTTTCTATGTGCTAAGTACTTCACATATTTATACCTTAAGGCACTAGTACTATCAGTACTTTAAATGAACAGATGAGAAAACTATTGCTTTCAGACTTAAAATAGCTTGTGTAGATACAGAAAGCTTGTAGTAGCATATAGTCCAACTCTGTTTGAGTCTAAAATCCTGTCCTAGAGCATAATCTGTCCAGCACCCTGTGGGGATGTGAACTCACACCCACACTAATGGATGCACACTTGGGACTACAGACCTCTGAGAGCATGTTTTTACAGCAATGCTTCATAAATTTGGGTTTGTGAGTTCAACCGTCCGAAGGTTTTCAGCATTTAAAACTGGTACCATAATTAGGATAAATTATTTCATAGTGGCATAATGCCTCACTTTGACAAGTGCTGTTTCAGTATTCTAGCTGAGACCATCCCTGCAGCATTCTCATAAATTTGGAGGGGTGTGCATCAGCTGAGATGCTGGTGAGATATGGCTTACGTCAATTTCTCTGTAGCATATATCTGTGCAAACACTTCATCCTTGGCCTTACACCTTTATTAGCAAATTCATGAACCTTCTAAATAAACAAAACCTGCAGTGACCTCATTTGGTCACACTGTGATCGATGGTTTGGCAGCTTTTCCAAGGTGGCAAGGATGAAATTGCAAGTCAATATTTTTTTCCAATCCTGAATCTGATACTTATTTCTGAATTTAATACCCCACTCTGAAAAATAATTCTTTTGTATCATATTTCTCACTTAAAAGAAATATTCTTTGATGTCTAGAAGAAAATAAAAATGTTCTAAAAATAGACATTTATAATGCAAATGAACCATTAATTTATGTCAGATGATTTCTCAGAATACTTTTCTAATGTATAGTAAGACCTAATCAAAATGCTTTTAATCCATAAACTGACCCTAGACAAGATTTTTTTGTTACTTCACTATGTATGTTTGTATGCTTTTATGAACTTGGTTAAACATTTCACTGATAGTGGCAAAGCACATGTAACAAGAGCAAATCATTTCACGAGGAAAACTGCGATCTCACTGTCTCAGATTTTTTTTTAAACTCCTTAGAAATTATTACTGAGCATGCAGATTATTGGAGAATTAAAAGATAAAAAATAAAACCTTACATCTGCCAAAGTCAAAAGAGCTTTCCGGAAGTCACCAGATGTTTCAGAACTAATGGCATCTCCAAGACTCTTCTTATACACTGAAACCAAATAAAAATGAAATTAAGCCCTGACAAACTGAAAAAATATTATAAAACAGAGAAAAGTGTCAGCGTCAATATTGGCAAATAATGAGTCTCTGGTAAAATAAATCTGCCTTTTTATTTAACTTCCTGGCACTCCACCATTGTGAGAAGGAAATATTCTCTATGTAACAATTGCTACAGCATGCACAGTGGCAGATGCAAAGAAATGGGAAGGGATCAAAGGGAGGCCTTTCTGGATCAAATCATAGCTCATCTCATCTGACAATGGCACTAATTAGGGAACACACAGGAAGGGCAACCTGTTCATTTGCCTTTCAATTTTCATTATCTCCTTCTTCCATAATAACAGAGCTCTAGTATTTAACAAAACCTAATGCACACAGCTTAAAAACCTCATTCTCAGCTTTCCTCTTAGGTAGGTGCAGCTCCATGACTAAGTTCTTTGCTGTGAAATGTAGGCAGACACATGTGACTCTGCAGGGAAATCTCTTTAAAGGGCTGGGCCATGCCAGCTTACTCCTTCTTCAATCCTACCTCCTTGGATGCATGTTGATGTCCAGAACTTGGGCCACCATCCTGTACTATGAAGATAAGGACTGCATCTTAGCAATGGCAAAAAAGGAAGCAGGAAAGGGTCCAAGTTCCTGAGCATTTTGAAGAGCTATCATACGAGTCTTAGAATTGTCCATCTCCAGACTTTTTTACATACACTGTACCACAAGCAAACTTCTATCTTATGTTAAGACACTGTCATTTCCCTATCTTACGAAACCAAACCTTAATCTTAACAAATACACCTAGATTATTTGATGTTGCTCAAAAATAAGAAAGTCATCCCCAAATACACTATTTTCTCTTAATCAATGCCAACTATGTGTTCACATATTTTAATACAGGCTAGTTGTAGCTCATTTTGCATGGCAATTTTATTTTGCACTGCTGGGGATTGAACCCAAGGTATTGTGCATTCTAAGCAAGTGCTCTACCTCTGGGCTACACCCCCAGCCCCTGCCTATCAGTTTTAAATCTTTATTCTGCTCCATCAATGGGATAGTGAATCTCCTGAGGCCACTATGTATCTGGATATAGGTGACACCAACTGGTGTCTGCGTCATTCTCAAAAACTCCATATAAGTCAGCCATAGGAATGCTCATCCTTTTAAATCAATGAAAGACAACTATAGAAAGTGATGTGAGATTATCAAACGGGAAGAGCCGTCATGAAATAGAAACTTCCTCAACACAATTTTAGCCTTTTTATGAACTCTACAACTTTTCAAAGCAATTCATACAAGCAAAATCTATAAGTTATTCATTTTAATACCATTTAGCAGGCATCATTGTATCTAATACTCCTAATATTGTTGCATCTATCCTTCACTCTAGTTAGAAAATATTTCAATTTACAAATATCAAGTCGAAGACTGAAGCTGCTGCTTTTTTAAGATTTGGGGAAGGATTTTGCAGTTGCAGAATTGTATCAATGAGATTTTCTCATGCAGCCTCCACAGGCCTCCCTTCACCCAGAGATTTTGCAGGAAATTAGACTATTAAAATGGAAATGATTTCAATCTAATTTGATAACTTTTATGCATTTTAAAGTATAACAGAGCACAGAAAACTATATTTTAACAGTGCAAATACCTGAACTAGAATGAGTTCTTGATCCCTGAGTCAGTGTTCTCTCACATACTGTTAACTATGGAATACTGAAAAAATTTCAGGATTTAACTCGTTATTATTCAGGTTCTTTTGTCTCCTTGAACTGGATGCACCAAACAAGATGCCTGGTCACTTTATGAGGGCCAAGTTGACGACCTCCTTTGATGGGTTTCTCAGGCGTGGGCCACCACTTCACATTATATGACACCATCACTCTTGTCCAAGCTGAATACAAGACTGTTGATACCTGAGCAGAGGTGACCAACAGCTAAGAAGTGACCTGGTGGAAGAACTTTGCTCAAAATAATGCTTTCTGTTAGAGAGGGGCTGCCAGTGAATTCTCTCTCTTAGGGAGTGAGCTATGCAGAGAAAGAAGAAAAGAAAATAGAGTTGGATGGTTTGGTAAGAAAAAGGAAGTCTCTTGGAGGTGCATACACTAGAAGCAAACATTGAGAGGAAGAGAGTCTCTAGGGTAGAAGATAGCACAGGGAGCAGCAAACCCGTGCTGAGGCAGGGACAAGACCACTGGGTCCCTGGGGCAGCACTGTGTCCTGAATGGCTGTAAAGCTCGACTCCACATAATGGAGGCTGTATCCTTCTTGATCTTCTTCTATATCAACAATCTCTAGCAATCAAGGTAGCCTAAAAACAGTTCTTTTCCTTGTGGCCTTACACAGATTAACTCATATAGAAATTGAGACTAGTAATTTGGCTCTTAGGACCTCAGCCTCAACCTTGAACACAGTCATTCAATAAATATTTGAACTTATTCCCCAATGGTCCTGAGCATTGAGGATACAACAGTGAATGAAACAGACAAGAATGTCAATCCTCACAGTGTGCACATCCTGGGACTGTTATATGGAAAAGCTGGGCTCCGGGCAGCTATCTCTGGGCAGGTCCAATCATGGAGCAGCAAGCTCCTAAGAGACACCAGGAACTAAAAGCCACCTCACGATACAGTGCCTGGCTCTGACAACTTACTTTTTACGTGTAAACCTTGTTGAACTGAAGTACAGTGATACCTTGGTTGTCGAACAGCTCCAAGCTTGAACCTTCCACTACTCCAACAGCAAAGTTAGAAAAAAATGCTTGGTGTTCCTAACTTTGCTCCACTGTTGAACCAAAAATCCAACATGAAAAAGTTCTTATGGGCTGAGAGTGAGTCATGCCTCGCATCTTGCCACTGACACAAAGGGGCAACGCTATAGTCTAAGTGCCATTCAGCCCCAGACAACATATAGTGCTTGTGTTAGTGTGTTAAAATATTCCTCACCACTGGATGTGGTAGTGGGTGCCTGTAATCCCAGCCCCTGGGAGGCTGAGGCAGGAGGATTGCCAGAAGTTCTAGGCCAGCCTGGACTACAGTGAGATGAAGCCCAGCCAGGAGTACATAGCTGGAGAACCAAGTCTAAAAAAAATAAAAAATCAAAGAAACAAACAAAAACAAAAACAAAAACAAAAAATATTCACCATTGTGCTTTTTTTTTGCACTTTATTTGCATAAAATTGTAACCATGGCTCCAAAGAAAGTTAGTGATACCAGCAATAAAGCTAAGAGAAAAACTGTGAGAACCACAACAGACTTAAAGAAATCATTGGGAAATTTGTTAAAGTCCTGGAAAAATTGATTTACAAGTATAATTTTTGGGCCTCAGAACCAATTATTTGGTTTTCCAACATTTCTTATGGGAAAAAATACGTTAAGTTCTCAAACTCTTCAAAGCTCAAATATAAATTTGGAACAAACTGAGTTCGAAAACTGAAGTTATCACTGTATTTTAAACCAGGCATTTTAAACACTGACAATGCACCCACTCGTGCTTCTTATCAAGCAAATCTCTCATCTCCTCCAAATTCATCCATTTTCTGCTGCATTCCACCAAGAGGGGAGGTCGAGTTTTCTTTTTGCTTTTTCACTCCTCTACAAAGTGTTTAAAACAATTCTATTAAGTAGCTCTCTCTGTTAACATATCTAGTACTTTTTCTGCTTTTTCTGACTACATTCTGATTAGTACATCAATAACAAAATAGTCGCTTATTAAGCTATTTAACTTCTAGTGAGAATTTTCCAAAGTAATCTCTCTAATACCCATCTGGGGTTCAGGATACCCTTTGTTTGGGCCTCTCTCAGTGCAAACCTCCTGGATCCACAACCGACCTCACAGAGACACAAAGTTAGAAAACAAGGCTCCCTTAAGGTACTTGGAAGAGGCTACGGGGGGTCTTGTATAACACAAAATTGAGCTGCTCTTCGTCTCTGATTCTTGGGAGGTGACCTCTAAATCCTTGGAATTTCCCAAATATTTTGAGTCTTTATTATTCATGGTGATCCCCCAAATTTATGCTAACAGGATGACTCAGAACAGAAGGAAGTCACATATGAAAGACCAGCCATGTGATTAGAGGATTGAGGCTTTGAGCCACAAGATATCAGCTGAACCTCTGGGTACAGAGACTGAGCTGTAGGCTGAGTTCAATCATACAGACAATGATTCATTCGTGCCTAGGCAATAAAAACTATGGATACCAATGATCAAGAGAGCTTGCAAGTTGGTAATTACACATCAGTGTTCTGGGAGGGCGAACGCTTCACTCTGGATCCTCCCAGATCTCTTCCTATGGGTCTCTTTCTTTGGCTGGCCTTGATTTGTATCCTTCAAAATAAGACTATACTTGTAGGAACAGTACTTTCTTGAGTTCTGTGCATCATTCTAGTGAGCTCCTGGGCCTGAGAGAGCAGTAAGCACCTGGATTTGTAGCCAGTTGGTTAAACAGATGTACATGTAGCCTGGGAACACCTGAGCTTGGGGGCTGATGTCTAAAGAGAGGGCAGTCTTGCGAGGACTATAACCTAACCTGTGTAGTCACACTAAGTGACTGCATAGTGTCAAACTTGCATTGCATGGACTTGCTAATTTTTACATAGATAACACAACTTTAGGACTTCAGCTAATTACACTGAATTCATATGCTCAACATGTCCTCTAAATTGTTCATCTAATTTCCCACACCAAAAATCATAAGTCTAATCTGAGTAGTTTTAAATAGATAATAATAATATACAATGACAGGAGTCTCTTACATTGACGAAAACAGTTGATTCAATTAAGCAATTGCTGAGAGCAAAATCCACTGCAGCTGTAATATTATAAATGCAAAATATTAAGCCATTGTTATACAGCAGTTGCTAGCCTGAATCATATTGTAATTCTCTCTGAAAATCCACAGCCTGTTTTAGAATATATCTGTCTATAACTCTTCCCTTCTCAAAATGGCTTGAGTATAGATTGGTGTGATTCTAGGAAAAGCAATTTGGCTCATACCCATGTGGACAGGGGTAAGGGTGAGCAGAAAATTGGCTTACTTGTGTAATAGGCTTGTGAGACCTCCTTCATTTGCCTGCTTGTCCTGGTAGTTAAGAGTTCAATCAAAGCATCTTCATCTGTTCCAGTACCCTAAAAAGGAAAAGGAAATCTAATTTTTAGAACACTTAAAAAACTTAATTTCATGCCTTTCATTCTTAATATCATATTTCACACAGATAAAAGAGCCATTTTGAGTAAATCAGTGTAAGATCTCATATGGCCCTGAAGTCCTTTTCTAATTTCCCATATATTTCAGTATTAAAATAACATGAGTCATCTGGAGTAAACTGACATCAAATGTTCAAGAAAATGTCCTACTCTATTGCAAAAATCAATTGAATACACTCTAGGAAGAAAGAGTTTGAAGGACAAAGCCTATGATGTTACAGGCTAGAAGTGGTATTCCAAAGGAATAATCCAACAGAGCGGTCAAACTTAACTGTGTTTAAAAAGGGCCCTGTATTTCTCTGAGTGTGTTCATCTCTGCACCATGGTATTGCATTAGTCAGCAAATGTGTGTCCTGGGCCTGGCTGGCTTGGACACTACTACCCTTCAACCTTGTTTATTATGAGGTCACTGAATCACAGTATGGTTCCAGAGAAAGACACTTACAATAGAACTTGATGAAATAAGGTCAGTGAAGCACATGAGGAGAGACTTAATTCTGTCCCTCTCTGGGAGGGATTCTCAATATTGAGTTACCCTCAATATCTCTTTTGTCTTTCTGGTTTAGTAATAGGTCCTCTAATTTTTAACTTGGCACCCATCTTAAATAAAGGGTATATTTCTCAGATCATTGTACAGCACAGCTTAACCATGTAACTTCTGAGCAATGGGATATATGCGCAAGATCACTATACAGCACAGCTTATCCATGTAACTTCTGAGCAATGGGATATATGCACAAGTATCATGTGCTTGGACTCACAATGTCATTCAAAGAGAAAAAGTGAAACCTTCTTTGTTTATTCCTTTTAGTTGGCTGGAACAAACGTAAAATGGCTGGACTTTGAACTGCCATCTTTAACCAAGTGGAAGTCATGGGCTGAAGGCAGAGGAGCACCCAGATTGAAGGGTCCCAGATAATAAGGGTGCTACCATACTCACTTCTGAACTGCTTACATTCTTTTATGTACAAGAGAAATTTCTCTTCCTTTTGGGTGAATCTAACCCTTACTATTACAGCTACTAAGCCCTCCCAAGTGGTGGCCATAGAGGTACACTGCTCACACCTAACTTCAAGTGCATCTGCTGCTGATAATGTCCTTGGCCACTGGCCTCCCACTGCCTCACCTTTGGATCTGCCACTGAGTTCACACAGGTCATACTCTCTCTAGGATTCAACTAGCCAATGTCTGGGCCCAGCATGGTACAGGAGCTGGGCACACTGTAGGACTCTCCAAGGGCAATATCTGCTCAGGAGCTGCCATCAGCTTTCGAGGGTTTCCAAGAGCTACATCATGGACACTCTTCCTACCTGAGCCATTTCCTTCCTGCTCTCCTTCAAAGCATCAGACCAGCATTGCAGTTTGTGGGTGCACCCCCTTTGCAGGCTGTTTCTTCTTTATCCTTCACAGGTATTTTTCACAACGTATCTGTTGTACACCCAATTCTATTCTGCTGTGTGCTTCTCTGATGCCCATAACTCTTCCATAGAAAAGAAAATAACTCTTATCCCTATGGGAAAGGCATATTGCTTATGCCTCAGATCTAGACCTTTGTCTTTCCTCTCTTTCCTATCAATAAATATGTTGAACACCTACTTCATGGCAGATTTTGCTCCAGGATCAGAAGATATAGATTAAGACTGATGAGGTTCTTGTCATGATGTAGGTCTGCCTTATAAATTGAATGAAAAATGATAAACAACTAGGCAAAAAATTTTTAAAGAATAAAGAGGAAAGAAAAGGACAATTTTATATGGTAATAGATGCAATTAAAAAATAAAAGTGGCTCTTTCTGTTAGTATTCCAAGGTGATTGTGAAAATGGTTCTCTACTCTCTTTGTTGGATCCAGAAGATCCAACAAAATCCACGCAAATCAAGAGAAGGAAATCTTCATGTTCACTTTAAGAGCATCTCTGAGCCTGCCCAGGCCATCAAGGGTCTGTACGTCCATAAAGCTATAAAGAATCAGAAGTATTTCCTTTTAAAGAAGCCATTCTGGCATTGTAATGTGGACTTGGGTGGGGCCAAGCAGTGGAGCTGGACACAGGGCTGGTGGCTCAAGATTGCTGTTTGTTGCACCTGCTTAAAAATGCAGCATACTGCTGCGCTTCAGGGTTATGATGGAGATTCTCTGTGCACTGAGCATATCCGGGTGAACAGAGCACCTGTGACACACGGGCATCTCACCAAGTCCAGGGTCAGATTAATCCATCTGTGAGCTCCCGGGCCACACAGAGATAGATGATCCTCACTGAATGGGAACAAACTGTTCTGAGCCAGAAAGATATGTTGCATAGATAAGAAAGATATCCCGGAAGCAAGTGAAAAAACAAAAACTTATGGCTTGGGAAAAAATTCAACAAAAAATAAATGCAAATAAAAATTTAAAAAACAAAAAATAAAGCTGAGTAAATTAATAGTAAGTGTCTGGAAGAGAAGCACTCCCAATGGAGGGAGGATTAGGCAGAAGAAGCCCACAACAGGAATAAGCTTAGAATGTTCAAGAAGCAGACAAGGAGGCCAGTGTAGCTATAGCATTGAATAAAAAAGGAAGGGTGGGGGTGTGACAGTCGGTGCTATAAACTGGGCTTGGCCAGACTAGAGTGCCAGTTATTCCATCCAACACTATTCTAAGTGTTGCTGGGAAGGTGCTTTGTCCAGTATCAATCGACATTGAGTAGGGGAGATGATCTTAGATATGCCACACTCTAGATGGCTCAGATTCAGCTTGGAGCAAGGAATTAAAAGTGGAGCTGAGGCTTCCCTGAAGAAGAAATTCTGTCCATGGGGAGTGGCCTCAGAGTGCACTAAGCTCCAGCCTTCCCTTCCTGACTGCCCATCCTTTAGACCTCGGCCTTGTTCACCTCGTCCCATGATTGTGTAAACCAATTCTCTATAATAAATCTCAATATGTACCTCCCACCTGTTCATTCTGCTGGTCTGCAGAACCCTGGCAAACAAAGAATTTTAAAAATTTGAGATAGGAGTTAGACTATGATGGGTGACAAAGGGCACAAAGAGTTTGGGTTTAAGTGTTCGAGCCACTGGAAATGTGTGCATATGAATGGCAAATTCTCACGTTAAAAATAACTTTACACAGATAATTTTGGCTATTGCTGGAGAATGGATTAAAAATGCACAGAAATGGGGGCAAAGGGCAAAGGGCATGGTCCAGTCAAGATATGCTCATGATCATAGCAGAACGGCAGCAGTGGGTTTTGAGAGAAGTGCATATATTTGCAGCGGATTCTGCAGTAGAGTTAATGGGCTTGTTCTCAGATCTATGAACCCCCCCCTTTTTTTTTTAGATCTATGAACCCTGAAGGAGAAGGCAAAGCAAGTGTCCAAAGATAATAAAAGGTTTTTGTTTTGTTGAGACAGGGTCTCTTATGCAGTTCAGGCTGGCCTTGAACTCACTATGTAGCCCAGGCTGGCGTGAAACTCAAGGCAATCCTCCTACCTCAGCCTCCCAAGTGCTGGGATTACTGATGTGTACCACCATGCCTGGATGATAATGCAAGGTTTTTGGCTTTAAGCAATGGGGTTGATGACAGTGCCATTTAGTTTCAACATCAAAATTGAGAATTTGGTCATGTCAAAAAATAAACAAAAGAAGGATGTGAGCAAATTCTTCCAGACAACATTGGGTTCAAGGCTTCACAACTGCCCCCTATTGCAGAGTCATCTCACCATAGGAAGAGCCGACCAGGATAGCTTCCGGGTGCCCCCATGTCTCCAGTGTGTACTGGAAGAGAGGCTGCTGTTTTTGATGATGGAGCCCAACGCAGGGCATCCCTGGCTTGTGCAGGGCTCATACCTTCATGGACTTCTTCAGCTGCTTCGCATCAAACACTGCTGGGGGAGTCACAAGAGCCACCATGAGGTGTTGAAAGTGGCCAGAGAGATCACCTTTCAAGTCATCTTTCAGCTCCTAAAATAAAACCCAAGAAAGAAATTTTGAATTTTTTTCCTTTCTCTTCCTTTAAAGTCACCTAGTGAAAGATGAACAGAGTATTGAAATTTGACAAAAATATGGCCATCCACAGGGAAGAAGCAGAAATGGCTGAAAATATTTCTATGGATACTAATCTGCATTTTATGATTGCCTCCAAAATGTTCTGTTTTTTGGAGGATTTATGCATGTGTGTGGTGCTGAGGATGACAAGCACCCTACCACTGTGCTACATCCTCAGTCTCATAAAGGATTTTTAGAAGAAAGCTAACAGAGTGCTCTGCATGGGCACCATCATGAGGAACTGAATGTTAAAATGCATTCCTCTAACTCCCCTGATTTGATCATTATAGGTTGCATACACATGTATTGAATTATTGCATTATACCCCACAATTAAAATAATAATTCATAACAATAAAATCAATGCATTTCCTGGGTCCTCAATGTTCTCAATGCTTGGGCTAAAGTGAAGAAAATTCATACTTAGCATCAGTAGCAGGTGCTCTACTTTCTGTACCTTGCTTCTTGCTGCTCTAACCAGTTCCAAAAAGAAAGGAGAAGGGAAGACAGTGATGGGGTGTCATTTGTTCGGTAAGAGCTTGGAACTGGGAAGCATCAGAAACTATTGCCTGGTAACAGGAGCAAGGGAAGCCCTCAGTGTGGCAAGGCAGGGACATCACTTCTCAACAGCGTCCTTTGGTGCTGATTTCTTACATTACATAAGCATAGTCCCTCTCCCCTGCCTAAAAGCAAGTAACATGATTTGTTTCCAACATTCAAAGGAGTAGAATGTTGGACACTGAATAGTGTTTCCCTGAAGCTCTGACACAGAAGCTGGGAGTCCCAGACTACTAGAATGATACAGACTGACTACCATGCCACCAGGGCCACGCCAGTAGTGTGATCCCACCAAGACACGGGACAAGCTCCATGTTATTACTCTGCTTCAGTCACTGGGCTCTTTCCTCTCTAAATGCAAAATTCCGCTACCATCTATCCCCAACGCAAGACGTCACAATCGACTCTTACTGCACACACTCTCACTCTATCTCACCGTGAGAAGTGGGTACCCTTTGCCTCTGTCCTTCCACATTCTGGAATACTGAAAGGCAAGAGGACCACTCCTGCTCCCTGCTTGTGGATGTCCCACCTTGCCCGATGCACATGCTTCCAAGGACCTGCTCCACACTAGGCATTTAAAGGTAAGTTAGCTACAACCCTTACTCCTAAGATACTATGCACCAATGGGGAAGGAACAACAGAAGTATTCAAAGATAAAATTTCAGTGCAATATGCTAAGTATTTGCTACAGGTACTTCTGAGAAAGGAGAGTTTGCAGGAGGTGACACCCTAGCTGGGTTTGGATGGCCCTCAATTTACACAATGGCCTGCCTGGTCTCTGCTCCCATCCTTTCCTTTCCACAGTCTGTTATACACAGCAGCCAACATCATCGTTTAAAAATGAAAACTGGATTCTATTATTCCTCTGCTAACAAATTCCCAATGGTTTCCTATTGTCCTTAGAATAAAACCTGGTGTTCCCAGCTCGTGTCTGCTGCAGGTTTCTGTGTTTGGTGTTCTCTTTTCCTGAAAAGCTCTTCCCATTCCAGGCCAAGCAGGGCAGTCTTTGTCCTGCTAAGTCTCAGTTAAGAGTAAGGCAGGAACTGCTCACTGGCATTTCTTCATCCTGCCCAAAGGAGTTAGTTACCAGTCACCTTCTATTACAGCACCCACTTTAATTTTTTTCATTGTACTTCCTAGCATCTGAACTTCTCTTATTTACTTATTACTTTTCTAATAGAACATGAGCTCATGGAAGATGGGAGGGCCTGCTCTGCACATAGCTGTATCCCCAATGTCCAGGAGATCTCCCGAAATAGGCAGCACTCAACCAATAGGAATTGAACAAATAAACTGCACAGCAACAACCAAGCCTTACTTGTTTTTAAATAAGTCTCTGGTACTCAGTTTTCATATGCTGAATGAAGCAAGCCTACAACTATGTAAATATTTTTAAATCAGAAGAGAGCTCAAAGATCGTCTAAGCTGTGTTCCGTTGGATTGCTAGCCAGATGCTTCTGTGTGGTGGGGCTCTCTTGGCACTGTGGGGCATCTGGCAGCAGGCTTGACCTCTGCCCGCTGGAAACCAGAATTACGCCCATCCCACCTGTGGTAATGACTATGTCTCCACCTAGGCCATGTGTCCTGCAAGGAGCAAAGGGACTCCTGGCTAGAATGACTGGTCTCAGACAATCCCCTTCATTCCACAGGTGACAAAATTGAGGCACCAAGGCCATTTAGCCAGTTAATGGTGAAACCAGGACTCAGGTCCCAGGTTCGTGACAGGATGCTACCTTTTTCCTGCCTGTCGCGTTCACTGCAGTACCTTCTCATAGGCCGCTTGATACTCCTTCACGATCAGCTGCCGCTGCACGTTTGACCTCTCAGTTAGAACACTGATGAGCCCCTCTTCATCAGTTCCTAAATGAAACAGAAATTATTTTATTCACCATTAACCCCAAGATGCTCAGTATCGATCTTTAACCAAAGAAAAATGATCAATGGCTTGAAACAACTGCTGAGTAAAACATTTTACTTTTTAACTTCCAGCTCCTTACATTTTTTTGTCTGGCTTATGGAAAAAGAATTTAACTTTATTTGGATAGTTTAGGGGAAGAAAATAACCACTGTCAACCACTGTCCATTCCTATCTGTAGATGAGAGAGAGGAGCTCCATGAACCTTCTGCCTCACGCAACGAGGGTCAGTAACTGTCACCGCTTCTGAGCTCTCAACCCCACACTTGGCAACCGAACCTTTCTCCTGCAGAGAACAGGAGCTGACAATTATTAAGAACCTACCATGAACCAGACACTCTTTCATCCCCTGTCGTAGCCGACAGTCACAGGGCCCTGTGCAGTAGCTATGACTAAGCTGTCTGAAATGAAGACATTAACACTCAAAAAGCCAAAGTCACATAGCTGCTCAGTGGTACGGCAGGACTTCAGACACAAATCTTTGACCCCAGAATACATATTTCTATCTCTGGTCTGCACCTCTCTTATACATTTCACATCCATATTCTTAACCTCCTGTTTGTAAGCACAGGGTAACACTGGGCCAGGACTAAGGCTGGCCTGCCTCAGAATAACCACCACAAGGCCATCATTTTTTTGGTAATTATGAGATTAAGACAGTGCAGAGAGTTGTGTCCACCTCACTTGCCGGAGAGGATTGCAGTGGAGTCGGGAGCTGAGGGATTTGGATTGGGAGCCTGAGGCAGGGAGGGCTGGGATGGTGTGAAGATCAATTAGAACTTGAGGCTCCATTTCTCTGTATTGAGGTGACATGTGCACACCTTGCCTGCACTGTCTGTGCAGAGGGGCCTACATTCACGAGGGGCAAGACCATCTGTGCTCAGCTATCTGCTGGCCTCCGAAGGGCAGTTGCTGCCCTCTACCTCCAGTCTTGAATTTTTCTACCTCCTTAACAGGATTAGATCAATGCCTGATTATGCCCCGAGACTCTGATCACCAACCTGACCTTGGATGGCCTCTGTGTCAGTGTACGACTGGACATTTACAAATGCACATGTCTTAAACTCACATCCTCCAGGTGGGAGCCATCATATTTCCTTTCCAACCTGTCAGTCCATGTTCTCTCATCAGTGGGAATATGATGGCTATAGTCACCCAATCAAAAATCCTGGGAACTCCCCTAGACTCCTTCCTTTTCCTTCCTCCTCACATTGTGGCAACTGCCTGCCTCTCTTAAATTAGTACTCTCTGTTACTGTGCCTTTACCACGTTCTGCCTACATAACTTTAATAGCTAACTTGACCCCCACATCATTCATCTTGTACATTACTGTCTAAGAACTTTTTTTTTTTTTTTCTGAGACAGAATTTCATTGTGTAGTTCAGGCTGGTCTTGAACTCACTAGGGAGCCTAAACTGGCCCCAAACTTGTGATCCTCCTGCTTCAGCCTCCCAAGTGATGGGATCACAGGCATGTGCTACCATACCCCGCCTATGTCAGTTTAAAAAAAAATGCAATCTGATCATGTTATTCTCTTAGCCAAAATACTGATATCTCTCCATTACCTTCAGGATAAAACTGGAACCCTTAGCTCATATCCCAGTCAGTGCCTGATGTTTCTGCTCTTATTTACTACTCCTTCTCTGCATCTCTGTATCCTCTGCACCCAGAGTTCCAATATCCCTAACTGCCCAGATGTGTGCAGTCTGTGTGTCTGGCAGTTTCTCATCTCTTATTTTTGCACATGCCCAAGATCAGCAGCTAACCTAACTACCCCATGGTCTGGAGACTGCAATTCAGACAGTCCTAGGCCAAATGCCATCCCAACACCTGGTTTCACCATGGTGATCACAAAAAAGATCTCAAAGTGGCCTGCAAGGGAAACTGCAGAATTTTGAAATCATAATGTCAAAAGAGATAGGCAATAGAAATTAAAGATGATCAATTTGTTCGATTTGACACTAACCTCACGGAATAGTCTTTTCAACACTGGGTAGAAAAGATATAAATAAACAAATAACTTTCATTTAACAATGGGAAAAAGCCCTATCAGGTAAAAATAAGATAATATTACTTGACATAAGTCCTAATGGTGTATTTCACAGAATTTGACAAGCTAAGCCTAAAACTGACAGAGAACAGAGCCAAGAAAATTTTTGGCCCTATATCAAGGGTCATTATAAAATTATAATAACTGTGACAATGTGGTATTTGGACAAGAAGAGGCAAACAGACAAATGGAACATAGCAGAGGACAGAAAAACAGGGAGGCAGAAAAGAGAAGGGCATTATCAATCAGCGTGGAAATGATGAGCTCTCCAGTAAATTATGTTGAAACAATTAAGTACTCACATGGAATTAAATAAAATTAGATATCTTTAAATACTATACATAATACTAATTCCATGTAAATTAAAGCTCACAGTGTGAAAAATAAAATTTTTAAACATTGGAGAAAAATTCAGAACACCTTTCATAATCTCATTACAAAAAGATGTAAAGATAAATCCTAGTTAAAACACTGGTTAACTCAATCTTATTAACACTTAAAACTTAATGTAACAAAAGTACTATAGTCAATGTTCAAAGAAAGCCACAGACTTGGAGAAGATATTTTTATGGCATGCAATTTTAAAAACCCAAGGATTATGTTGAGAAATTATGCTGAAAGTTCTGCTCATCACGAAGAAGACAACCCAACCAAAAAATGGATAAACTATATAAAGTAATATACAAAAGGGAACAAATAACCCAGCAAGAATGGTTAACTGCACCCGTAACTGGCGATAAAGAAGAGGGAGGAAGGGCTGGGGATTTAGCTCAGTAGTTTCGCTGCCTGCTGTGCAAGTGCAAGGACCCAAGTTCGATCCCTGGTACCAAAAAAAAAAAAAGAAGAAGAAGAGGGAGGAAATAAACATATATAGAATGAGATACAATTATAGACACAGTCAAGGAGAAAAACTGAGTAGTACTATTGTAGCAAGTATTCATGGAACATGGAACAAGCAGAAGGCTCATACATTGCTGGAAGGAATGATAATTTCTGTATTTATTCAGGGAGCAATTTGGCAAAATTTCTAATTAATTTGAAAATAAGCATTCCCTTCCACCTGCAAATTCCAATTCTTGTCATATTCTAGAGAAATGCAAGCCAATATGCACAATGAAACAAAAGCAGAAATACTCGTTACAGTATTTTTATACTGTAATAGAAAAGAATTGTAGGCAATATTAATGTTCCATCAATATTCCCATTTTACGATATAGTATGCAATAGACTAACTACTATGCAGTTAAAATTAATGAACTACAGCTAAACATATCAACATAGATAAATTTCAAATATACTATGTTAAGGGATAAAAAAATAAAGAAGAACGTATACAGTACAAATCTATTTTTTACTGGTTGAGGGCATGCAAAACAATTTGTACATACATTCGTAGTCATGACATTGGAAGTTACACAGGAATAAAGTCTCAGGAATAAAGCCTAATTTAGGACAGTGATCATCTTTAGGCAATGGAGCGGGAATGAAATCCAGGAAGAATCAACAAGGACTGCATCTGTAATGACTGATGATGACTGTTGCTGGTAGCAGCAGTGGTGGTGGTTGTTTAGTTCCCTATGCTTTTCCTCCTTGTTTTATACTTTTAAAAAATATGCAACAATTTCTCTAATGGAATAAACCAAATTGGGCAAACTGAACCTGGCTACTTTTAGACCATAACTTTCCTGATTTGCTTAAAAATAAGAAGAGAATTAATTGTAAAACATACTCACCAATTCCTTTGATTGCCTTATGGATTGCTTCAGCATCCACTGATGGGCTAAAGCCTGGATAATCTTTTATTGTTCCTCGGTGTCCAACCTAGAAGGAAATACTTGAAAGTCCCACTAGTTCAAAATGATATCTTTACATTACATGTTCATGTTCTCATGTGCACATGGGAAAGACAGACATCTAATCTGCACACCTTCCTACATTTCAGGCACAGTTTAACAGTCTCTCCTTCTTCAACTTGCAGGCACTATGACATCATGAGACCTCTCTTTTTCCTCTCGTGTAACAAATTACACATATGAAACATTACTTCACTAGAGCAACGAATTATGTCAGTCCTGGTGACACTGTGCAGTATTTGCTTTAAAGTGGCATCTGCATAAAAACAATGAGAAAGCCGAATTTTCCACATCCTCTTTGTTTTCAAGTGATAATTCAGAGTCCTTCAGGACATCTCACACAGAAGTAATGGTGGTAGACAGACTTTAAGATGTTTGAACTAATGTTGACCACTGTCCCTGGGGAACCCTACACTCGAGGATTCATAAATGAAAACCTTATTTGGATCATCTATTCTCACGCTGTGTTTAATGAATGTGCAATTGCAGCTGGTAAAGTCCCTTCTAAAAGCTCCACTGACATCAAAACTTTTTAGGAATGGCATGGAAATAAAAATGTCACACTACTAATTTTGAGCACATAAATTAGAAACACAAAACACATCAGCAGTCTGGAAAAGACCGTATTACTGGAAGACTGATGTATTCTAAAACTGCTTAAGAGAATACAGAAGTATACCCAGGAAGACATCGTGAAGAATTAAACATGTACTTGTATGGAGTAGCTTTGAATACAAATCTGTATAGTTTATATTTTCCTTTTAAACAGGATTTTCCTATCCTGTTACCAAATACTATTCATTGGCTCTGCTGTCTTATATTAAATATGACTTCATTTAGGTTTTTCTTAAGTGTTTAATATTTTCACGAAAGGACATTAGCTTGTTACATTAAAGTGAAAGGGAAATTAATGTTGTGGCACAGTAAAAGCTTATAATATGCTGACTCAATAGATCAGACTGAACAATTTGTTTCACTATAGTCAAGTATTGGTTAATTTTAAAGCACCTGAAATAAAGTTCTGATCCTACAAGTAAATAATTAAAACAAGTTAAAAATTAGTTGTGAACATGATAAATCAGAAGACACTGGTAAGAAATCAGTTTCTCCAACACAATCTTTGGTGAGTTCTCTCTCCTCGGGGCTTCATATTTTATAGATTCACAGAGCCAGCAGGCTTCATCTCAGCTCGGTCCCCTAAGAGCTTATGTGTTTCTCTTACTGAGCCCCCTTCCAGTGCAGAAGAACCGCTGTCAGGAGTGTTTGTGTTTTGTGTGTTAACTCTGACAAACATAGCAGCCATGGTATGCGAGAGGGACTCGAGAAACATACATGGCATCAAGAGTTAAACAGGCTGTAGAACTGGCTCAAGGTCAGGCAGCAAAATCCCAATGTGAATGCAGTCTGGAGGCTCCTGGCCCATCCTGATGCTTCCTGAAATATCACCTCTGCACCATTTAGGCTTTCAAATGCACAGGACCAAGCCCCATCCTACAGAACACTGAACCATATTCTTAGAGACCAAAGATAGATTCTACTTATTTAAGAAGCTCCCCAAGAGACTTCATACCAGAGAGTTACACGATTGTTTCTGGATACAAGAAGACAAAACTGTGGTTGGATCCTATGTACAGTTCATGAGTTACAAAATCTTAAGGTTTGCATTCTAGCTGTGACCTTTTCATTGCTCTTTACCATCTATGCATGAAAATATGCAAAAATTCCAATGTGCAAAATTAGAGAATGAAATGCCAAATCCATGATGCAACTTCTATTCAGTAAGAATTAAATGGGGAGTAATACTTGTTTAATTAAAAGAAATAAAACTACACACACACACAAACACACCAACTTGAAAGAGGACATGGGGAATTATTTTATTTTATTTTATTTATTTTACAGTGCCAAGGAGCAAACCCAGGGTCTAATGCACGCTAGACAAATGCTCTAACACAGAGCAGCCCAGGACATGGGAATCACTGGGCTGAGTTCTAGTGAAACATTGAGAACTGCTTTAGTTACTTAAATGGACAGTATTACATTATTCATGTAATACTTGGTTGTCCAGATATTCAAAAATACTTATATGACTTGCAAAAAAACTTAATAAAAAATAAATTAATGAAATCTTTTTTTGTAGTACAAATCAGTTAGTAAACAAAGTACCTAAAAAAACAGCTTAACTGACTTTTAAAATGACTTTAATAAAGTGGATCTTTTTTTTTTCCCATGACATGCAGTTCAGGTTGACTTTGAACTCACTACGTCATCCAGGCTAGCCTCAAACCTTCAGTGATCCTCCTGCCCCAGCCTCCCCAGTGCTGGAATTATAGGCATGTGCCACCATACCCAGCAATAAGGTGGATTTTATTATTTTCACGTAAAATTAGAAGGAACACAGCCAAGCATAATGGAACATGCCCAACTCTGTGGGAGGCTGAGGCAGGAGGATCCAAAATTAGAGTCTTGCCTGGGCAATTTAGCAAGATCTGTTTCAAACCAAACAAAAAGCTATATAAAGGGCTAGGGATATAGTTCAGTGGACGAGGGCCCTGGGGTTCAATCTGCAGTACTGAAGAAAAAAAAAAACAACAACAACAAACTCAATCTCAGGTCTATTACTTGCAGAATAGAAGTATGTTAAGAATGATAGTTCCAGAATTTAAACCCACTTCCTTCTGACTAAAAGGCCCAAGTGCTCATATCACGTAACTTCTGCTAGCTACTCTAGTGGTTCTCAGAGTGTGCTTCCTGGGTCAGACCCCTCAGAATCACTCGGATTATAGTAGAAATGAAAACTCTCAAGCCCCACCTCCTTTTCCCTGAATCAGAACCACTGGGGTTGAGACTGACAGTCTGTCCTCACAAGTCCTAGGAATGATTTTAATGTGCATGAAACACCAGTGTTTCATGGGGCTCTGTAGCCTACACCTGTAATTCCAACTACTTAGGAGACAGAGGCAGGAGGATGGCAAGTTTGAGGATAAAAAGCACAACTTAATGAAACCGTGTTTCAACAAAAATAAAGTTAAAAGGGCCGAGTGTAGTTCAGCAGTAGAGCACCCCTAGGTTCAATCCCCAGCGCCACCAAAAATGAATAAATAAAATAAAAATCAAAAAGAACCACTGTCCACCGCTTCAGTTCACTCTCAGCTGCCTAGAAAACCAAAGCCAAAATGAGCAAACAAGTCAGGGATTCTTTTATGGGCGTGGAAGATGAAGAGTTCAATGCTGAGCTCACTGTTTCAGGAATGCTGGCTTTTGCACTACCAAATAATGCTTTCTCTTTGCAGCAAGTGGGTTGCCATTTAAATTACTAATCAGTACTCCACCGAGTTTGTTTCCAGAAACCCTGATACCCTAACACAGTGTCAGTGCCAGTGTATGACATCACAGGGATATTTGTCAAAGCTTTTTTTAAAAAAAATCATGTTTCATTAGATTTCCTTCCATATCCCTTAGAAATATTAGTTGCTTTCCTTTCTCCAACTTTATCTTCAGTTGCCTCCAACAGGAAAATGATGCTGAAAACCAGCTGGAAAGATAAAGCAAGAATGTCTAAAGCAGAACAGATCCTCTTAAGAGAATATTCGCTGAGATGTAGCATGTGCCAACAACCTTGCTAAGAAAACTGTGTTTCTTGCCTTAGCTCATTCAGTCCTCATAATAAACAGACATGGTAGGCACAAGACACATGCCCAGGTTCACACACCCTTAATGGTCTATCCCATCCATCCTGGCTCCTAATTACTAGGCAAGGCTGCATCTCATTTAAACCATCTTCTTCATGCCAATATAATTTTCCCTGATCTTCTAAAACTACTGTTTAGAGGTCAGCCAATCGTACACCATACCTGAAAGCCACTGATCTGGCCAAATGGCCCTGGGAGCTGTCTGCTCCTATCCCAAGAGGCCAATCTGTCCTTGATGTATAAAAAAATAGTGCTGTATTCACTGCTTCATGCAAAGTATACTGGGTTTGTAAGAAATTAAATATTTATATTCAAGAAGATTGAATAAAAGAAAAACACAAGATGCCAATTCTGTTGACATAAAACATATTTAAAGACAACTGCTTCAGAGCAAGAACAGCAACAGCTGCAGGGACACTATGAAGGGAAGGCAAAGCCTTATCATTCCTCATCTCTTCATAAAACCCTGTAAAGGCCAGATCCAGGATTTAAGGCTTCAAATCAAACCCTCAGATAAAACTCCAGGACCATCTGCTTTTTCTGCTCATAGTCAAAGCTCTCTTTTGGGTCATGAAACTTTATGATATAAGGGGAAATGGGAGTCAACTACAAAAATAAAGGAATCAAAACTTGAAAATGTACTCCATGTTCAACTCTTTCAGTAAGACGCAGTCTTCAAAGCCAAAAGCAGTTCACTGTAAGAGGCCCCAAAATGAAACATAGTGGAGTGAGGCAGGCATTGTGAATTGAATTGTTACCTCTCAAAAGGGAAACACTGAAGTCCTAACCTAGCACCAGAATGTGGGCTTCCTTGTATACACGCCATACAGATGTGACTGGCTGAGGTGAGGACATACTACAGTGGTGGTGGCAGGGGGCTCAGCCAATGTGACTAGTGTTCTCATGAGAAGACAGTCCCGAAAAGACAGGTGTGAAGGGGGAATCTGATGTGACAATAAAGGTAAAGACTAAAGTCGTGCAACTCAAGCCAGGAACACCAAAGTGCAGGAGACAGGCGTACACTTCCCCAAAAGGAAGGAATTCAGAGCTGAAGACAAGAAGTGGACACAGGGAGGCACTCAGTCCTCCCTCTGTGGCCTAAAAGCAAGACATCATTTACAAAGACAAAAGGTACCTGCCCCCCTTGAGGATATGGTAGCCTGGAGAGGAATCTGAATTAGCAAGCTTGACTAACTACCCTTTGCCTGCCAGTTACCTGCCTTCCCTCCCCCAAACTGCCACCTATACAGATACAAGTCCTCTTTTCTTGTATTTT